GGGGGGAGGGGTAACATTGTCAAAGCCCTACTAACTGGCGCCAGTGGTAAAGGAGTAGTGTGCTTCCACGTGTACTAAGAAAACACCTTCCCAAGTAACGACCCACTAATAAATTTAGAGGGCTTGTTCCAAAGCACAACATAGAGTATATTATCTGTTATATTTTGTATAGATGAGACTATATTTTGTATGAAGTATCTGTTCACAAAGGATATGATATGGATTTATTACTCTTGAATCTTTATTTAGATGCTGCCAATGTAACAAGAGAGGCAAACGAGAAGGAGAGCAACCCCCCGAAAAGTCTGAAAGAATAAAAAGAATGAAAGAAGAGAAAACAAAGGAAGGTGGCAACAGGAAAAGAAAGAAAGAAAGAAAGTTAGAAAAAAGGAAGAAAGGAAGAAAGAAAGGAAGAAAGAAAAAAGAAAGAAAGAAAAACAAAAGAAAGAAAAAAAGAAAGAAAGAAAATGTGCTTTGCACTGATATTCACTGTCCAAACGAAGTGTGAGTTCTTATATTTCTAGCAGCTGCTCATTCCACGTTCATGAAATACCAAGAGGAGATTGTCAGGGGTCATTGTGAAATAAATATTTATATAAATCTAAATGCGATGCCCCTAATAATAGCACATTTACTTCCATTTGCTGCAGTTATAACACCCTGTCTTTGTCTCCCTTTTTTTAAACTTTTGAAACTTAATTTTTGAATCCTTGACAAGCCTGGGGGCCATCTGGCGCTGTGTAGGATACATACCAAGAAAAAGACGAAGATACTCGATATAAACAATTTTTCACACGCAGGGGAATCGAGCCCGTGTCTTCTGAGACTAAAGAGCCTCACCATTCCATCAGGCAGGTCAGTTCTGCTTTGGTCATTCCCATAAACCACTCGACCACTGGGCAGCCTGCTAATGGATTCTCGCGTAAATAATTACTTTATACGAACAGCTTGGGACTACTCAGAGAAGATTTTTTCCAGTTGCTTCTGGAATGAGAGGTCAGTGGGATGGAATTAGGTTTATGACGTGTGCTCACTAAAAGTGCACGCTGCGTTTGTCTGACGGTAATGATATAATATTATGCATGTGTGTTGTGTCTGTACGTTTGTGTGCGTACCTATGTGTAGGTGTGTGTGTGTGTGTGTGTCTGTCTGTCTGTCTGTCTGTCTGTCTGTCTGTTTTTGCGTGTATGTTTGCGCATGTGTGTGCGTGTGTGCGTGTATCTGTGTGGCGTGCTTGTGTGCATGTGTGTGCGTGCGTGTGTGTGTGTATGCATGTGTGTTTGTGTGTGTGTGTGTGTGTGTGTGTGTGTGTGTTGCAAGGCGAAAACCAGCCGTGCCATGTTTTGTAAGTGAACATTTAACTTTGAAGAGTTCTGATCATCGCTGTGTTCATGATTTATGTTTCCCTCTTGAAAATTTATGAAGTATGCCCACTTACTGATTATAACATGACATAGGCTTTAAAGTGCTGAAGTGTGTTTATAGCAAAGTATGAAGTAAATATGTGTGCAAAAGGAACATCGCTGGTTTTCCCCTTGTAATCCTATATTATGTATAATTGGCATCTTATTTTGATGTTTGATGCCTTGAAGCTCTTGTACTAATCTATTTATGTTATTACCAAACAACCCCCCCCCCCTTCATATAACTTGAAAAAAAAACCCCGGATGAAATATTATGCCAATATATAATTACATTGTCATGTATCATTTTTAAAAATGTTGTAACTTTAAACAACAAATTCTAAAAGGTGTAGAAGTAGAAAGAGCCATTAAAGAGATGTTTAAAGGCAAAGCAGTGGGACCTTATCGAATCCCACTGGAAACAAATGAGGTAGGCTACTTGGTGAATGGAGGGTGCAGAAACTGACCAACCTGCTCAATACCTTCTTTTAGCGGGCAATATTCCAAGACACATTACTTCTACATCCATCACTTTACCCCAAAATTCTGGAACGACAGACTACGAATGCTGTAAACATTTATTCTTATTAGTCACCCAGTGGTGGCTCTCATGGTCGACATGTACGGTGTTCGCCTCTCTTTCAATAGGTCCCCGGTTCGAAACCTGACTTGGCTCCTCTCTTTCTTACTCCTGACTCTTTCCTCTGCTACCCTAATTCTTTCTACTGTCACCCCTGGCTCCTTATAACTGCTGTCCTTCAGCCAGATCCATGATCCTGGGGTGGGTAAGATCGAAAACCAACCCTTCTCGGATAAGGGCGAAATATCTCGGGAGGTCCTACGTGCAAGTTGGGCACGTTGAAGATGCCTTGGTGGTCCTGAATTCGATAACAGTGGGCCTCGGCTACCTCCCAGGCATAATTCAAAATGTATTCCTTCCGAAACTGAATATACTCCTGGCAGTATAAAACCATAGAGTACCTTCGAAGACTAGGGATCATACTAAGTTGGAAAAGGTTGCATACGTAAAAATTAGTTACACTGCAGGTTGAAGAACCAGCAGTCGGCTGCCCCTGATATCTAGCAGGGGAACGCAAAGAAGAAGAGAAGAAATCACACAATGAAACCAGAATGAGGAACAAGAAAAGACCCGAGGTTTTTGAAATGCAATTTGGGTTAATAGCTACAGCGGAACAACGAATGCCATGTTCATCATCACAATGTTGATAGAGAGGGGCGTTGAAATGCTGAAAGATCTTTCTTTGCGGTTCATTGGTTATTCCAACATGTTTCTTTTTAAAACGAAGTAGGCATGAAGATTTCCAATTTATGTAAAACCAGCGAGGCACTGGCGGCCTTGGTCATCCCAAAATACTGGCAGAGGTGCAGGAAAGCAGATGGGGACAATACATGTGTCCAAGCTGAAGTTTTCTATTGGTTTTCGATTCTGAAATATCTTGTGATGATTTTGGCATATTCTTTTTAAATCACCCTATATGTACACACACACACACACA